GGGGGGGGACCCACAATTATGCGTTTTTTTCTTCAGTAAACAAATTGCTGGTAAAGATAATGAATATACAAAAAAAAGTTATATTCTGAAATGCACATTTAATTTTAAAATATACTTATTTTTCTCAGCATTCACAATATCACTTTAAAAAAAACACTCTTTGAGTGCAATTAGCCTAAGCCTAAACAGAAAACTTTCTGCATTTTCACATTAAAAAAACTTTATTTTTATAGTGTTTTTGCAAATGAAGTGCACACACTATATTTTTATATACAGCTAGTTATAAACACTACCTAATCTTTCCCAATCCCAAACCCTATCTGAAAACTTTCTGCTTTTAAAAAAAAAATTTAAACTTTACTTGATAAAATAAAATATTGTTAAGTAGGCACACACACACACACACTTGAAATTTGAAAACAGTCCATGTAACATTTATTACTCACTTAACCTCACTTTCTGTCCAGATGGTAAAAACTCTTTCATGGCTGATTCCAGACCTCAGGTCACAGTGATGCATCTAGGGAAGACACACAGCAGGCGATGACTGCCATAGCAGTAGATTATGACCCTTAAGGTTCAACTCAGGGTTCAAACAGGTGCCCTAGTACAATAACTAAGACACAGATAATTCATTTACTGTATGTGTGTATGCTTATGTCTGACAGGTTTAATATGAACATACTGTGCTTGGCTAACAGAAATAAAGTCTTATATTCAGATTTAGTTACACTCCTTTTTTCATATTCACTATATGAACATTTCAGATGGATGTTGCTTTGTGAGAATCACAGATCTGTTCTTACGCGCCACTTTCTCCCTTCTCTTTCTTCATCGATCTCTCTCTTTTTCTCTGAGACTGAACTGCAGCTCTATGTGATCGTATAAATAAAAACGTTCTCTTCGCACCTGAAAAATATATAAATGATAACCAGAAAAATCAAACAATAAAATTATGCTAATGTGTCCTTTCTTTAATGGGTACTTTATCTGGAGGAGTGTCTCCAGGCTAATTTTCTGCTCTCAGGTGTTGAGTGAGTGTTTTACATTTCTCTGATTTTCCATTGATGTGCGGTCCACTGGGATAGCTCAGCTTTCTTTGCTTCATGCCTAATTCACTTTGATAAAAGCCATTAATGCTGCATGAGGCACATACACGTACACGAGAACACATGCACAGAGACACACATGCAGCTGTTTCTCTGGTCTTGATGATTTGAACTGCATTAATCTTGGGTTTTAAAAAGCTCACAAAAAAAAAAAATCTGGCCAGTATTAATTACATGACCTAAGCATGTTTGAACACATATTTGCTGTTTCCTTTATCAGCACTAGATGGCAGTGGATGCATATTATTCTTTTAAGATGTCTATAACAGTGGTTTTAAAAAATATTTCACAATTTCTACCAGATTAAATATTTTAGAGCTTGGCATAACAATAAAAAATTATATTCATTCATTCATCATACAAATATAAATATTTTATTCATTTACATGAATATTGCAGGTCTAGATCGGATTTTTTAAAATTAGGCTACCTATCATTTACTGACAATTATGTAATTCCAAACCTGTATGCATTTCTTTCCTCTGCTGAACACAAATGAAGATATTTTGAAGAATGTTGCTAACCAAACAGTTTCCGTGCCCATTGACTTCCATTGTATTTTTTGCCCATACAATGGAAATCAATGGGAACTGACACTGTTACCAACATTCTATAAATTGTCTTCTTTTGTGTTCCACAGAAGAAAGAAATGCATACAGATTTGGAACGACATGACGGTGAATAAATTTCCTTTTTGGGTGGATTATCCCATTAATACTCATTTTGTCATATTTCATCTAAAGGTAATCTAAACGTCTCCTTGGACGTTTGCTGAGAACCCTGGTTGAAAACCACTGGTCTCTGTTTTTTAAAATTGTTATTCATGGTAATTGATCGGCTGGTGCAGGACGACCAAAGTATGTGATTTGAAATCTGCCATGTGATGGACATTCAGTTCCACATCCAGTTATTTAAGGCAATTGCCTAAGCAGTAAATGCATGTGACTAATTACTATGGAGTCATAGCAATGCTGTTTGGCTGATGGCACCACAAGAATGTGCACAATCCCTAACATTTCACTAGTGATTATCCTATTTTTGCAGACAGGCAAAAATATAAATCCATTTCACCCATGTAAGAGACCACAAATAAATAAATAATAATAAATAATGATGTAATAAATAAATAATGTTGCTGGTAATACATCTAATATAATATAATGAAATATTTACACATATTTATATTTTGTGGCTAATTCTGAATGGCAGTCAATAAAGAAATAAATAGTTACCACATCTACCAGCAGGTGCTCAGTGGCCAAACCCTGAATTCTTGAATTCTTTATCTCACGAATGGATTTGTCAGAACAAGAGGACAACTGAGATAGAGAAAGAGAATGAAAGTCAAATGTTTCAAATTCTCATCTTAGGAGGGACACTAATATTCAGGCACATCTCCCTTACATACACACACACAGAAGTGACAGCTGTGTCCATTAATACTTCTACCAAAACTGGAGTCACTCCACCATCTGTCTTTTCTCCACTGTCATCTATCTCTTGTTTTCTTTCTCTCACTACCTCATTCTTCTCCACCCATCACCCATCCCAACAGATCCCTCTTGTCCTTCTCTCTCCTTTCCCCTCATCTGTCTTTCAATAGGTGCATCTGTTTCAAGTCAAATACACTGCAAATAATTAGTCATATTTTTATTTCTTGTTTTCAATTTAAAAAATTTATTTTTTCTGCCCTTTTTTTTTTTGCTTTATCCACAAATTGAAATTTTGTTAAATTTAATCTTAAAACAACACCAAAATTATTTTTCAATAAACGTATAAACAGATAAATAAATAAAACCTTTTGTAATACATTGTTTTTTTTTGTTTTTTTTTACCATTTAACAAAATATAAAATTACAACAACATTTTATTTGGTTCATATTTAAAATAAGCAAAAGAATTGTCAGTGGGGCAAGAAAAAAATCACTCTGTTATTACCATCGATTTTGTTAATCGAAATGAAGCAAAGAAAGAAAGAGAAAAAATAAAATAAAATAAAAAGAGAAATGTTTCCCTGGCAACTAAGTTATATTGAAGTACAAAATTA